TGGGAGTACCCCTTGGGGCGCTGTTGGCCCTGGAAGGTCCCCTAGTGGCGCTGTTGCCCCTGGCAGGGCCCCTAGGATCGCCGCCACCCAAAGGAGGCCCCATGTGGGTGCCATCGACACTTTAAGGGCCCCTAGGAATGCCATCACAGCTAAGGAAGGTCCTAGTGGGCGCCATTGCCCCTGGGAGTGTGACCCATAGGGGCCCTTCCAGGGGCAGTGGTGCCCCCAGGGCCCTCCCAGGGAGCTTACCAGAGGTGCCCTTTCCCAGGAGACCTCTAGCTTTTGGTTGTGGTGACATACATATTGCAAACATCCAACAATCATTTACATAACTGTGATTGGTGGACTGAAATGTAAATTACCAAATGACAGCCAATAGGAGAAGAGAACAGTCAGTCAGCACAACACCCCAACTTATGTTTTGCTGTTGGATATTTATTCTCCTTTACACTGTTCATGGTGCGATGATACTGGAAATGTGATGGTTGGTGTATTTATTCATATCTCCCATCGTTCTAAATGTGCAAAAATAACTGTCCTCAGGTTCCCTACAGTGACAGTGCGCCCTGGGGCCCTTCCATTTGTAAAGGAAAATAAATATCAAACAGGAAAACATAAGTTGGGGTGTTGTGCTGACTGACTGTTCTCTTCTCCTATTGGTTGGATTTAGATTTTAGTCCACCAATCACAGTTAAGTAAGGGATTGCTGGAGTATGCAATATGTACGACGCCACAACCAAAAACTAGTGGTCTCCTGGGAGGGGGGCGCCTCTGGTAGGGTCCCAGGGAGTAGCCCAGGGTGCACCACCGTCCCTGGAAGGGCCCCTATGGGGCACTGCAGCACTAAGAAGAGCACCTGGGGGCGTCACTGCCCCTAAGAAGAGCCCCTGGGGACGTCGTTGCCCCTCGGCGGGCCCCGGGGGAGCCACCACTCCTGCCAAGTTCTTTAGGTAGGTTGCTGCCCCCGGGAGGGCCCCTGTGAGTGCCACCGCTCCTGAGATGGCCCCTGGATGCGCCGATGCCCCTGGGAGAGCCTCTCGGGGCACCGTTGCGCCTATGAGATCCCCTGGGAGTGTTGCTACCCCTGTGAGTACCCCTTGGGGTGCTATTGGCCCTGGAAGGTCCCCTAGTGGCGCCGTTGCCCCTGGCAGGGCTCCTAGGGTCGATGCTACCCCAAAGGAGGGCCCATGTGGGTGCCATCGCCACTTTAAGGGCCCCTAGGAATGCCATCACAGCTAAGGAAGGTCCCAGTGGGCGGCACTGCCCCTTGGAGTGTGACCCATAGGGGCCCTTCCAGGGGCGGCGGTGCTCCTAGGGCCCTCCCAGGGGCCCTACCAGAGGTGCCCTTTCCCAGGAGACCTCTAGTTTTGGTTAGATGTCCACCTTGATGACCAGATAGGACTGGAACACTCCCAACTTATGTTTTGCTGTTGGATATTTATTCTCCTTTACACTGTTATGGTGCGATGATACTGGAAATGTGATGGTTGGTGTATTTTCATTCATATTTCCCATCGTTCTAAATGTGCAAAAATAACTGTCCTCAGGTTCCCTACAGTGACAGTGCGCCCTGGGGCCCTTCCATTTGTAAAGGAAAATAAATATCAAACAGGAAAACATAAGTTGGGGTGTTGTGCTGACTGACTGTTCTCTTCTCCTATTGGTTGGATTTAGATTTTAGTCCACCAATCACAGTTAAGTAAGGGATTGCTGGAGTATGCAATATGTACGACGCCACAACCAAAAACTAGTGGTCTCCTGGGAGGGGGGCGCCTCTGGTAGGGTCCCAGGGAGTAGCCCAGGGTGCACCACCGTCCCTGGAAGGGCCCCTATGGGGCACTGCAGCACTAAGAAGAGCACCTGGGGGCGTCACTGCCCCTAAGAAGAGCCCCTGGGGACGTCGTTGCCCCTCGGCGGGCCCCGGGGGAGCCACCATTCCTGAAAAGTCCTTTGGGGGCGTTGCTGCCCCTGGGAGGACCCCTGTGGGTGCCGCCGCTCCTGGGAGGGCCCCTGGATGCGCCCCCGCTCTTGGGAGAGCCTCTGAGGGCGCCATTGCGCCTATGAGGTCTCCTGGGAGTGCCGCAATCCCTGGGAGCACCCCTTGGGGCGATGTTGGCCCTGAAAGGTCCCCTAGTGGCGCCTTTGCCCGTAGCAGTGCCCCTATGGAAGCTGCCACCCCAAAGGAGGGCCCATGTGGGTGCCATCACCACTTTAAGGGCCCCTAGGAATGCCATCACAGATAAGGAAGGTCCTAGTGGGCGGCACTGCCCCTTGGAGTGTGACCTATAGGGGCCCTTCCAAGGGTGGCGGTGCTCCTAGGGCCCTCCCTGGGGCCCTACCAGAGGTGCCCTTTCCCAGGAGACCTCTAGTTTTAGTTATGGTGACATACATATTGCATACGTCCAACAATTATTTACCTAACTGTGATTGGTGGACTGAAATCTAAATCACCAAATGACAGCCAATAGGAGAACAGAACAGTCAGTCAGCACAACCCCAACTTATGTTTTGCTGTTGGATATTTATTCTCCTTTACACTGTTCATGGTGCATGATACTGGAAATGTGATGGTTGGTGTATTTATTCATATCTCCCATCGTTCTAAATGTGCAAAAAAATAACTGTCGTCAGGTTCCCTACAGTGACAGTGCCCCCTGGGGCCCTTCCATTTGTAAAGGAAAATAAATATCAAACAGGAAAACATAAGTTGGGGTGTTGTGCTGACTGACTGTTCTCTTCTCCTATTGGTTGGATTTAGATTTTAGTCCACCAATCACAGTTAAGTAAGGGATTGCTGGAGTATGTAATATGTACGACGCCACAACCAAAAACTAGTGGTCTCCTGGGAGGGGGGCGCCTCTGGTAGGGTCCCAGGGAGTAGCCCAGGGTGCACCACCGTCCCTGGAAGGGCCCCTATGGGGCACTGCAGCACTAAGAAGAGCACCTGGGGGCGTCACTGCCCCTAAGAAGAGCCCCTGGGGACGTCGTTGCCCCTCGGCGGGCCCCGGGGGAGCCACCACTCCTGCCAAGTTCTTTAGGTAGGTTGCTGCCCCCGGGAGGGCCCCTGTGAGTGCCACCGCTCCTGAGATGGCCCCTGGATGCGCCGATGCCCCTGGGAGAGCCTCTCGGGGCACCGTTGCGCCTATGAGATCCCCTGGGAGTGTTGCTACCCCTGTGAGTACCCCTTGGGGTGCTATTGGCCCTGGAAGGTCCCCTAGTGGCGCCGTTGCCCCTGGCAGGGCTCCTAGGGTCGATGCTACCCCAAAGGAGGGCCCATGTGGGTGCCATCGCCACTTTAAGGGCCCCTAGGAATGCCATCACAGCTAAGGAAGGTCCCAGTGGGCGGCACTGCCCCTTGGAGTGTGACCCATAGGGGCCCTTCCAGGGGCGGCGGTGCTCCTAGGGCCCTCCCAGGGGCCCTACCAGAGGTGCCCTTTCCCAGGAGACCTCTAGTTTTGGTTGTGGTGAATACATATTGCATACGTCCAACAATCCTTTACTTAACTGTGATTGGTGGACTGAAATCTAAATCACCAAATGACAGCCAATAGGAGAACAGAACAGTCAGTCAGCACAACACCCCAACTTATGTTTTGCTGTTGGATATTTATTCTCCTTTACACTGTTCATGGTGCGATGATACTGGAAATGTGATGGTTGGTGTATTTATTCATATCTCCCATCGTTCTAAATGTGCAAAAATAACTGTCCTCAGGTTCCCTACAGTGACAGTGCCCCCTGGGGCCCTTCCATTTGTAAAGGAAAATAAATATCAAACAGGAAAACATAAGTTGGGGTGTTGTGCTGACTGACTGTTCTCTTCTCCTATTGGTTGGATTTAGATTTTAGTCCACCAATCACAGTTAAGTAAGGGATTGCTGGAGTATGCAATATGTACGACGCCACAACCAAAAACTAGTGGTCTCCTGGGAGGGGGGCGCCTCTGGTAGGGTCCCAGGGAGTAGCCCAGGGTGCACCACCGTCCCTGGAAGGGCCCCTATGGGGCACTGCAGCACTAAGAAGAGCACCTGGGGGCGTCACTGCCCCTAAGAAGAGCCCCTGGGGACGTCGTTGCCCCTCGGCGGGCCCCGGGGGAGCCACCATTCCTGAGAAGTCCTTTGGGGGCGTTGCTGCCCCTGGGAGGACCCCTGTGGGTGCCGCCGCTCCTGGAAGGGCCCCTGGATGCGCCCCCGCTCTTGGGAGAGCCTCTGAAGGCGCCATTGCGCCTATGAGGTCTCCTGGGAGTGCCGCAATCCCTGGGAGTACCCCTTGGGGCGATGTTGGCCCTGAAAGGTCCCCTAGTGGCGCCTTTGCCCGTAGCAGGGCCCCTATGGAAGCTGCCACCCCAAAGGAGGGCCCATGTGGGTGCCATCACCACTTTAAGGGCCCCTAGGAATGTCATCACAGATAAGGAAGGTCCTAGTGGGCGGCACTGCCCCTTGGAGTGTGACCTATAGGGGCCCTTCCAAGGGTGGCGGTGCTCCTAGGGCCCTCCCAGGGGCCCTACCAGAGGTGCCCTTTCCCAGGAGACCTCTAGTTTTGGTTGTGGTGACATACATATTGCATACGTCCAACAATTATTTACCTAACTGTGATTGGTGGACTGAAATCTAAATCGCCAAATAACAGCCAATAGGAGAACAGAACAGTCAGTCAGCACAACACCCCAACTTATGTTTTGCTGTTGGATATTTATTCTCCTTTACACTGTTCATGGTGCGATGATACTGGAAATGTGATGGTTGGTGTATTTATTCATATCTCCCATCGTTCTAAATGTGCAAAAATAACTGTCCTCAGGTTCCCTACAGTGACAGTGCCCCCTGGGGCCCTTCCATTTGTAAAGGAAAATAAATATCAAACAGGAAAACATAAGTTGGGGTGTTGTGCTGACTGACTGTTCTCTTCTCCTATTGGTTGGATTTAGATTTTAGTCCACCAATCACAGTTAAGTAAGGGATTGCTGGAGTATGCAATATGTATGACGCCACAACCAAAAACTAGTGGTCTCCTGGGAGGGGGGCGCCTCTGGTAGGGTCCCAGGGAGTAGCCCAGGGTGCACCACCGTCCCTGGAAGGGCCCCTATGGGGCACTGCAGCACTAAGAAGAGCACCTGGGGGCGTCACTGCCCCTAAGAAGAGCCCCTGGGGACGTCGTTGCCCCTCGGCGGGCCCCGGGGGAGCCACCATTCCTGGGAAGTCCTTTGGGGGCGTTGCTGCCCCTGGGAGGACCCCTGTGGGTGCCGCCGCTCCTGGGAGGGCCCCTGGATGCGCCCCCGCTCTTGGGAGAGCCTCTGAGGGCGCCATTGCGCCTATGAGGTCTCCTGGGAGTGCCACAATCCCTGGGAGTACCCCTTGGGGCGATGTTGGCCCTGAAAGGTTCCCTAGTGGCGACTTTGCCCGTAGCAGGGCCCCTATGGAAGCTGCCACCCCAAAGGAGGGCCCATGTGGGTGCCATCGCCACTTTAAGGGCCCCTAGGAATGCCATCACAGCTAAGGAAGGTCCTTGTGGGCGGCACTGCCCCTTGGAGTGTGACCTATAGGGGCCCTTCCAAGGGTGGCGGTGCTCCTAGGGCCCTCCCAGGGGCCCTACCAGAGGTGCCCTTTCCCAGGAGACCTCTAGTTTTGGTTGTGGTGACATACATATTGCATACATCCAACAATTATTTACCTAACTGTGATTGGTGGACTGAAATCTAAATCGCCAAATAACAGCCAATAGGAGAACAGAACAGTCAGTCAGCACAACACCCCAACTTATGTTTTGCTGTTGGATATTTATTCTCCTTTACACTGTTCATGGTGCGATGATACTGGAAATGTGATGGTTGGTGTATTTATTCATATCTCCCATCGTTCTAAATGTGCAAAAATAACTGTCCTCAGGTTCCCTACAGTGACAGTGCGCCCTGGGGCCCTTCCATTTGTAAAGGAAAATAAATATCAAACAGGAAAACATAAGTTGGGGTGTTGTGCTGACTGACTGTTCTCTTCTCCTATTGGTTGGATTTAGATTTTAGTCCACCAATCACAGTTAAGTAAGGGATTGCTGGAGTATGTAATATGTACGACGCCACAACCAAAAACTAGTGGTCTCCTGGGAGGGGGGCGCCTCTGGTAGGGTCCCAGGGAGTCCCCAGGGTGCACCACCGTCCCTGGAAGGGCCCCTATGGGGCACTGCAGCACTAAGAAGAGCACCTGGGGGCGTCACTGCCCCTAAGAAGAGCCCCTGGGGACGTCGTTGCCCCTCGGCGGGCCCCGGGGGAGCCACCATTCCTGAGAAGTCCTTTGGGGGCGTTGCTGCCCCTGGGAGGACCCCTGTGGGTGCCGCCGCTCCTGGAAGGGCCCCTGGATGCGCCCCCGCTCTTGGGAGAGCCTCTGAAGGCGCCATTGCGCCTATGAGGTCTCCTGGGAGTGCCGCAATCCCTGGGAGTACCCCTTGGGGCGATGTTGGCCCTGAAAGGTCCCCAAGTGGCGCCTTTGCCCGTAGCAGGGCCCCTATGGAAGCTGCCACCCCAAAGGAGGGCCCATGTGGGTGCCATCACCACTTTAAGGGCCCCTAGGAATGTCATCACAGATAAGGAAGGTCCTAGTGGGCGGCACTGCCCCTTGGAGTGTGACCTATAGGGGCCCTTCCAAGGGTGGCGGTGCTCCTAGGGCCCTCCCAGGGGCCCTACCAGAGGTGCCCTTTCCCAGGAGACCTCTAGTTTTGGTTGTGGTTACATACATATTGCATACGTCCAACAATTATTTACCTAACTGTGATTGGTGGACTGAAATCTAAATCGCCAAATAACAGCCAATAGGAGAACAGAATAGTCAGTCAGCACAACACCCCAACTTATGTTTTGCTGTTGGATATTTATTCTCCTTTACACTGTTCATGGTGCGATGATACTGGAAATGTGATGGTTGGTGTATTTATTCATATCTCCCATCGTTCTAAATGTACAAAAATAACTGTCCTCAGGTTCCCTACAGTGACAGTGCCCCCTGGGGCCCTTCCATTTGTAAAGGAAAATAAATATCAAACAGGAAAACATAAGTTGGGGTGTTGTGCTGACTGACTGTTCTCTTCTCCTATTGGTTGGATTTAGATTTTAGTCCACCAATCACAGTTAAGTAAGGGATTGCTGGAGTATGCAATATGTATGACGCCACAACCAAAAACTAGTGGTCTCCTGGGAGGGGGGCGCCTCTGGTAGGGTCCCAGGGAGTAGCCCAGGGTGCACCACCGTCCCTGGAAGGGCCCCTATGGGGCACTGCAGCACTAAGAAGAGCACCTGGGGGCGTCACTGCCCCTAAGAAGAGCCCCTGGGGACGTCGTTGCCCCTGCGGGCCCCGGGGGAGCCACCACTCCTGAAGAAGTTCTTTGGGGGCGTTGCTGCCCCTGGGAGGGCCCCTGTGGGTGCCATCACTCCTGGGAGGGCCCCAGGATGCGCCCCCGCCCTTGGGAAAGCCTTTGGGGGCGCCATTGCGCCTATGAGATCCCCTGTGAGTGCCGCTACCCCTGGGAGTACCCCTTGGGGCGCTGTTGGCCCTGGAAAGCCCCTAGTGGCGCCGTTGCCCCTTGCAGGGCCTCTATGATCGCTGCCACCCCAAAAGAGGGCCCATGTGGGTGCCATCGCCACTTTAAGGGCCCCTAGGAATGCCATCACAGCTAAGGAAGGTCCCAGTGGGCGGCACTGCCCCTGGGAGTGTGACCCATAGGGGCCTTTCCAGGGGCAGCGGTGCTCCTAGGGCCCTCCCAGGGGCCCTACCAGAGGTGCCCTTTCCCAGGAGACCTCTAATTTTGGTTGTGGTGAATACATATTACATACGTCCAACAATCCTTTACTTAACTGTGATTGGTGGACTGAAATCTAAATCACCAAATGACAGCCAATAGGAGAACAGAACAGTCAGTCAGCACAACACCCCAACTTATGTTTTACTGTTGGATATTTATTCTCCTTTACACTGTTCATGGTGCGATGATACTGGAAATGTGATGGTTGGTGTGGTGTATTCATTCATATCTCCCATTGTTCTAAATGTGCAAAAATAATTGCCCTCAGGTTCCCTACAGTGACAGTGCCCCCTGGGGCCCTTCCACATGTAAAGGAAAATAAATATCAAACAGGAAAACATAAATTGGGGTGTTGTGCTGACTGACTGTTCTGTTCTCCTATTGGCTGGTTTTAGATTTTAGTCCACCAATCACAGTTAAATAAGGGATTTCTAGACGTATGCAATATGTACAACGCCACGACCAAAAGCTAGAGGTCTCCTGGGAGGGGTCGCCTTTGGTAGGGCACCTGGGATTGCCCCTGGGGGCACCGCCGCTCCTTGGGGCATCACCACACTTGTTATGACGCCTATGGGGCACCGCTGCCCCTAAGAAGAGACCCTGGGGGCGTCGTTGCCCCTTGGCAGGCCTCTGTGGGCACCACCGCCCCTGGAAGTCCCCGTGGCAGCGCAACCACCTCTGGCAGGGCCACTTGTTGTGCCAATGGCTCTGGAAGGGCCCTGGGGGCGCCGCCACCCCTAGGAGATCCCCTGGGGGCGCCGCTGTCCATGGCAGGGCCCTGGGGTGTAGGAGTAAGGGAAGGACCCTCTGTGTTGTATTAGAGTGAAGGAATGACTCACTGTGTTGTGTAGGAGTGAGGGAAGGACACTGTATTTTGTAGGGTTGAGGGAAGGACTCTTTCTGCCCCTTAGGGTGCCACTGCTACTGGCAAAAATCCCTGGGGGTACCAATTCCCCTGGGAGGTCCCTTGCGGGCATTGCTGTCCCTGGCAGGTCCCCTGGTTGCGCTACCGCTTCTGCGTGATCACCTGGGGGCGCCGCTGTCTCTGGGGGTGTAGGAGTAAGGGAAGGATTCACTGTGTTGTGCAGCAGTGAGGGAAGGACTCTCTGTGTTGTGTAGGAGTGAGGAAAGGACTCTCTGTGCACCTGGGGTCAACACTGCCCTTGGCAGGGCCCCTGGGGGCACCTACTCTCCTGCGTGGTCCCCGCTGTCCCTGGGAGGGCCCATGGGGATGTGGAGTAAGGGAAGGACTCACTGTGTTGTGTAGGAGTGAGGAAAGGACTCTCTTTGCACCTGGAGGCACCACCACCAGTGGAAGGGCCCCTGGAGGCGCCACCGCCCCTGGAGGAATCGGCCCCTGGGGGTATTACCGCCCTTGAATGGTCCCCTTGGGGCAACGCTGTCCATGGGAAGGCCCCTGGTAGGGCCTCTGAGGGCACCATCGCCCCTATGAGAACCACCACCCTTGGGAGGTCCCCTGGGTTCGCTGTTGTTCCTGGCAGGGCCCCCATTGGCTCCACCTCCCCTGGCAAGGCTCCTGGGGGTACCAAAACAGCCCCCGGCAGGGCCCCTGTGGGTGCCACCGCCCCTGGGGAGCCACCGCCACTGGCATGGTCCCTGGGGAGCCACCGCCACTGGCATGGTCCCTGGGGACGCCACTACCTCTGGCAAGGCCTCTGGGGGCATCACCGCCCTTGGCAGCGCTGTTGTCACTGGGAGGACCCCTATGGGTGTAGGAGAGAGGAAAGGACTCAGGTTTGTTGTGTAGGAGTGAAGGAAGGACTCTCTGTGCCCCTGGGGGTGCCACCGCCCCCAGTTTGTCAAACCTGCCACTCAGGTATGAAAAGTGACAGCTATGGTATGAAGCTGTTGGGCCATGCAGGTCAATGCTGACAAAGAGATAACATTACCTTAATGTCAATTACTTGACCAATGCTTATGATACCTTTACATCAGTGAGAACTTTTTGAGCGATGCAAGTGCATTGGTTGCATCGGCCTGGATCTGGCCCTGTAATAATGATGTAACCTATTATTTCAAATGTAAAACTTGATTGGATAAATTATTTTGTGAATTTAGTAAAAACAATGACATCCTTTCCCAGTTCTTATTCAGAAACAGAAGTATCAGAACTGAATTGTTGAACCTCAGTTTTCTTCTGTCAAGGTTGCTGCTGCATATAGTATATTTATTTTCTCTATTGGAATTCAAACATCCCTCTTACACTTCTTCCCTGCTTTTTCTCATCTTTGTTGGACACCATACTGTTTGGGTGGATTGGCAACCCACACATGAAAAGAGCAGTTCAAGCCTGGCAACACCACAAATGAAGGTCAATGTGTTTTTAGTGTACATGCTCATGGAGGGGTCAGCAGAGGACTGTACATTCTGTTAACAATAGTCTACCTGGAGAATGTGTTTTGTTTGTTTATATAGAATGCTTGACTTTAAATTTCATCTGTCTATCCAATAGTATTAATCTAATGAATTATCCTTTCTCTGAACTTTTCCGAGCCTCTCCCACAATGTAGTGTGGCCAGAATAAAGAGCAAATACAATCTCTCTTCATTTGCTGTCAGCCATTCACTCTCACAGTTGCCATAGATATGTCTTGAGGTTATATTTTCCAGTCATTCACAGATACGTGCCATCAGTTTAACTCAGTATCAGCAAATGGTATTATCAGACCTTTGTTTTTCAGTAATATTTTTTTATATACAAGAAGGTTAAACTGTATCAAAGAAAGTAATTGTATACAAAAAAATTATATTGCATGTGTGTACATGGACATTTCCAATATTTCCTCAGGATGACACACGAACCATGATATGAACTACCGTATATACTGTACTGAGTTATGTTCTGCAGAGAAAAATATTTCACACGACAACTTGTAGTTAAAATAACATATAATGGCATTCACGTCTAATCAGGACAAGAAAAATAAATAAATTATCATAATGAAATCTAAACGATGTCTGAGGCTAACATATAAAATCATGAACATTTGGATAAGCAAATGGAGGTCTACCCAGAGTATTCCATCTTTGACTGGTTTTACAGGTATTTGGTTTTCACAGCCACACAAACACACCTTCAGAGTTCTAGGTGCTGTACATATAACTTGGAAACTATAAAATGTACATCACAACATTTAAGTTCAACAACCTTATTTAAGTAGTTAATTATAGCTACATAGAGATAACTAAAATTTTGTTAAACAACTCTACTGCTTTAGATATTTATTCCTTCATATAGACTTCTCTTACTTCAGCTCCTAGAAGTTGTTTTGTCATGAACACACATACCAACAGTGGAGGTGCTGTTTGTGAAGGTGTGAAGTTCCATCACTGAGAAAATATTACAAAACATAAAAAAAGATTCACTATGTTCACAAATGACTGGAATAAATATCATCATTCCATTGTTTTCACAGAATTGTCTTATAAACACACACAAGTATGAACATTCTTAAACATTCTTATAATCATCGTATAAAAAAAGTACAGTACAGTATTTGCATATTGTCTAGGTTAGTAGAGTAGACCTAATAAATAGGGATTGAGCTACCTCTAAAAGTGATGCAATATATACAAGCCAGAATCTATTAAACATACAACCAGTGTACAGGAGAATGATTTTCACATTATAACTCATTCACAGTTTACATATAAAAAAAAATATATAATTACAAAAATGTATAAAGTAAAATTTCAAGGATTAATTGAGCGATATATCTTAATTTCTATCATTTAACTGGAAATATAAACAACATACTGTATATGAGGAAAATATTACACAGTAAACATTATAAAACTAAAGACTGTTGGAATAAAATTTCTGATTCAGACTGAGTAGCCAACCTCATTCAACAAAACAAGCTATGACAACTCAGCAAGTTATTGTAAAAAACTAACAAAGGGGTTCTTAAGAGAGCAATATATGACAACTGCGTATGTTTAGCCTAATGCGGCGACAAACTTGTACAGCCGTGAACAAAATTTCCTTTACCCACCCTGAGGGACTGAACTGTCGAAACAAGTCGGAATTGTTTGTCTACCCATCTGAGAGGCTGTAGGACCTCTTTTGACTTTGGTTCAGTTTCAAACAGGAGTGTAAAGGAATATTTGTTCATGACTATATATCAAATGAATTTCCCAAGTATTAAACACATACTGTACTGACAATACAGTAAACAGAAAATTTGGATAATTTATTCTGGGAAACATATTAATTAGTTAGTTACTGACAGGACATTGACACTCGATCATGAACTAGTGTGGAGGATGCTGCAGTATTTACAAAGTGACAATATTATTTAAAGTCTACAGTCACCCTCAAAAGTTACTCTCATGTTGTCCTGTCTTTTTTACCACCATGATGACAGGTAATACTATATTTCATTCAAACTTTACCATTATTTCTTATTTTGGGTAAAACACTCATTTGTTTTACTTCATACAGTTGTCACTTTATCTTGAGTATGACTGAAGATTAAAAAGTATTTTCACATACATGTATAATGAGCTGAAACAATCAACATTTAAAAGATATCATTATCTTCCTTGTTAAATTACATTGAAGCTCGGAGACCTTAATTCATAAGGCATCTCAAACACACTCATGTGTTTATAAATAAATAATTTCGATAAAAACATTTAAGTTTCACAAACTAAAACTTAGATTAACATGCCATCTTTCATATTACTTATGGAAGAATTGATGTTATAAAGAAGAGTTCTTCGAAATTGTACTTAAATTGCAGACACTATAAATTACTGGGTGCCTGTCTTATGTTCATATTATATCCAATTGCATAATTATGTAGTGGAGTTATGGTGGTATTCATGCTGTTACATAACCCAGACTGAAGTTCAGAGTGATGCAACTTTGGTAGTTTCTTGGAAATAGTAACTTGGTTTATGTTGAATACCAAAATAATCGTCCATCAGTTGCAGGTCTCAGACTGGAGTGTAGTGAGACAGTACCAGACAATGGCAGCTGTCCACTAACCTGATGGGCCTGGCTTGGACTCACAGTGACAGGACCTTGATCAAGATAATGGTTGTCCAGTAGTTCCATAAACAATACTGTACTGGAATCCATAGTGATGTGGCCCTGGCTATGATGGTACTTGTATGATACTGTAGTTACATGGACCATACCATGATGGTATAGCCCTGACTATGATGGTAGTGATCCATAGTTATAAACTCATAGTGGTATGGCCTTGGCTATGATGTTAGTAGTCAGGTAGTTCTATGGACCGAATTGGGATCCACAGGCATGATAGGGTCATCTAGTAGTTGTATGGGCCATACTGGGAGCCATAATGGTAGGGTCCTGGGTAACCATAGCCATATGAGGGATACTGAGGCTTCTGAGAGTATACTGTAAGAAAAAAATATAAATTAGTTATGGCATACTTCTTCAGTCTTACTTAGTTTAGTAATGCAACTTTATAAGCATTTGCACATGAAGTTTATTTCATAATATTGCTACAACACAACGTTTTTACACCAATAATAAAAATAACAGTTTTGATAATCTATTAACATCATTAAAAAGTGCAGATACAATGATATAAACAAGTGTTATCTAGACCTAATTGAGTGCAACCATAAAATACTTTACAAGCTAATGTACTGATACATGATCATGCATACCAGCTCTAGGTCAACAAGTTAGTGATGATGTTTCCATGCAATCATTATGTGACATCACTAAATCATGTGAGTATTACAAGCTACCACAAGTTTATAAGAGTACAATGGTCCAAAATATATACAGTACAGGTTTCTAAGGAAGAACTAAACTACTAATAACATATAATCCAACAAGTTTTTAATAATTATAAAAAATCTACTAATTTCACCTGAAGTACTGTTGAATTTGCCTAAAACCAGGGTGTCTACTGGCCAGACAAAACAAAATTCCCTGGCTTTTCCAGGTGTAAATTTGAAAATTCCAGGTACTGTACAATAATTCGGTATTTATTACGACAAAATAACAAAATTAAAGGTTTTCAATAATATGTACCGTACTGTATTTACTATTGGGAAAGTTAAAGATGATATAAATTATATTAATCAAGAAATTGAAGATCCTTTCTCGACCCACCCCAAGCCCCTATTCCATAATTTTCTCCTCGGATTTGTGCGATTCACGTGGGTCGACCTGGACGTTCCCAAAAAGACAGAAATCCAGCAAAACCCGAAAATTTACACCCCTGATCTACCTACAGTATACGACTCATGATTAATATGTGGAATAACCCACTTCAATAAGGTCATTAAATTATAAGAACAATTCATCTCTGACAATACTGCACTCGTTGCAGAATTAGTAGGTATAACCCATAATACTGTACAGTAGTCTGGATTTACGTGGTTTTTGTTTACGCGTTTGGTCATTTATGCGGTGCCTTGCCAGAATGAAATGTATTAATTACGCGGTAAATTTCATCATTTACTCGGGAAGCGGCGTGGGCAGGGTGCACACAAGGTCGCCCAGTCATCAAAACATTACCGAGTTCTTCACCCGCCACCCACCACAGCCGGCCCAAGTCAGTGATAGTGATAGTGAGGATATGGACTTTGAGGGGTTTGACAAAGAGGCCCTGGAAGCCTCTGTGGTGGATAGTGATACAATTGATACAAGTGAAGGCCAATAATCTGCCCTCTGCCTCGGAACCAACTCCCCATCCCCGTGTGCCCAGCCATCTTTTCTACTAACGTAAGTGTTAAAAAATCCAATATTATTGATATTTCTCTTAAATAATAATTGTGTGCATACCATCATAAAATTAAGATGTTATTTTTACTACAACGTAGTACGTATTGTGTCGGAAAAAGTGTAGTTTGGGATTCGGCCCAGTATCTATTTCAAATAATCCCATATGTTCTGTTATTTCATTTATGCGTTTCTCGTTTTACGCGGACCTCCACAGATTCAATTGACCGCTTAAATCCAGACAATACTGTAGATATTTCCCGTTTCCTATGATAATCTACTTCGCAAAATTAGGTAATATTTCCCTTAAAGTCGATAATCTACTTCCCCAAAATAGAATTTTCTCTCGGAAATGGAATTTGAGCGGTTTAACCAATTAATTACTTCCAGAAGAACACAAAAACACCCAAATCTCACATGGGAAACCCATAGTTGGCTAGTAATTAGCACTGAAAAATTCATAAGCGTTGAAAAAGTCCTAAAAATACTCCAAGCTTCATTAAGGCCACTAATTACCCTCCAATCGAAACGAGGATCATAGATTTGCAAAAAGCGTGCTCAGGAGTACATATACTGAGATTTCCAGCAAAATCAATATTTTGGCCAAAAACATAAGTCTAATACCTTAGTAATTTTTTGACCAAAATAGACTTTTCTTTCGGAATTGAATTTTGAGGGGTTTAACCAATTAATTACTTCCAGAAGAACACAAAAACACCAAAATCTCACCTGGGAAACCCATAGTTGGCTAGTAATTAGCATTGAAAAATTCATAAGCGTTGAAAAAGTCCTAAAAATACTCCAAGCCTCATTAAGGCCACTAATTACCCTCCAATCGAAACGAGGATCATAGATATGCAAAAAGCGTGCTCAGGAGTACATATACTGAGATTTCCAGCAAAATCAATTTTTTGGCCAAAAACATAAGTCTAATACCTTAGTAATTTTTTGACCAAAATAGACTTTTCTTTCGGAATTGAATTTTGAGGGTTTAACCAATTAATTACTTCCAGAAGAACACAAAAACACCAAAATCTCACCTGGGAAACCCATAGTTGGCTAGTAATTAGCATTGAAAAATTCATAAGCGTTGAAAAAGTCCTAAAAATACTCCAAGCCTCATTAAGGCCACTAATTACCCTCCAATCGAAACGAGGATCATAGATTTGCAAAAAGCGTGCTCAGGAGTACATATACTGAGATTTCCAGCAAAATCAATTTTTTGGCCAAAAACATAAGTCTAATACCTTAGTAATTTTTTGACCAAAATAGACTTTTCTCGCGGAATTGAATTTTGAGGGGTTTAACCAATTAATTACTTCCAGAAGAACACAAAAACACCAAAATCTCACCTGGGAAACCCATAGTTGGCTAGTAATTAGCATTGAAAAATTCATAAGCGTTGAAAAAGTCCTAAAAATACTCCAAGCCTCATTAAGACCACTAATTACCCTCCAATCGAAACGAGGATCATAGAATTGCAAAAAGCGTGCTCAGGAGTACATATACTGAGATTTCCAGCAAAATCAATTTTTTGGCCAAAATCATAAGTCTAATACCTTAGTAATTTTTTGACCAAAATAGACTTTTCTCTCGGAATTGAATTTTGAGGGGTTTAACCAATTAATTACTTCCAGAAGAACACAAAAACACCAAAATCTCACCTGGGAAACCCATAGTTGGCTAGTAATTAGCATTGAAAAATTCATAAGCGTTGAAAAAGTCCTAAAAATACTCCAAGCCTCATTAAGACCACTAATTACCCTCCAATCGAAACGAGGATCATAGATTTGCAAAAAGCGTGCTCAGGAGTACATATGCTGAGATTTCCAGCAAAATCAATTTTTTGGCCAAAATCATAAGTCTAATACCTTAGTAATTTTTTGACTAAAATAGACTTTTCTCTCGGAATTGAATTTTGAGGGGTTTAACCAATTAATTACTTCCAGAAGAACATAAAAACACCAAAATCTCACCTGGGAAACCCATACTTGGCCAGTAATTAGCATTGAAAAATTCATAAGCATTGAAAAAGTCCTAAAACTACTCCAAGCCTCATTAAGACCACTAATTACCCTCCAATCGAAACGAGGATCATAGAATTGCAAAAAGCGTGGTCAGGAGTACATATACTGAGATTTCCAGGAAAATCAATTTTTTGGCCAAAATCATAAGTCTAATACCTTGGTAATTTTTTGACCAAAATAGACTTTTCTTTCGGAATTGAATTTTGAGGGGTTTAACCAATTAATTACTTCCAGAAGAACACAAAAACACCAAAATCTCACCTGGGAAACCCATAGTTGGCTAGTAATTAGCATTGAAAAATTCATAAGCGTTGAAAAAGTCCTAAAAATACTCCAAGCCTCATTAAGGCCACTAATTACCCTCGAATCGAAACGAGGATCATAGAATTGCAAAAAGCGTGCTCAGGAGTACATATACTGAGATTTCCAGCAAAATCAATTTTTTGGCCAAAAACATAAGTCTAATACCTTTGTAATTTTTTGACCAAAATAGACTTTTCTTTCGGAATTGAATTTTGAGGGGTTTAACCAATTAATTACTTCCAGAAGAACAGAAAAACACCAAAATCTAACCTGGGAAACCCATAGTTGGCTAGTAATTAGCATTTAAAAATTCATAAGCGTTGAAAAAGTCCTAAAAATACTCCAAGCCTCATTAAGACCACTAATTACCCTCCGATCGAAACGAGGATCATAGATTTGCAAAAAGCGTGCTCAGGAGTACATATACTGAGATTTCCAGCAAAATCAATTTTTTGGCCAAAATCATAAGTCTAATACCTTAGTAATTTTTTGACCAAAATAGACTTTTCTCTCGGAATTGAATTTTGAGGGGTTTAACCAATTAATTACTTCCAGAAGAACATAAAAACACCAAAATCTCACCTGGGAAACCCATAGTTGGCTAGTAATTAGCATTGAAAAATTCATAAGCGTTGAAAAAGTTCTAAAAATACTCCAAGCCTCATTAAGACCACTAATTACCCTCCAATCGAAACGAGGATCATAAAATTGCAAAAAGCGTGCTCAGGAGTACATATGCTGAGATTTCCAGGAAAATCAATTTTTTTGCCAAAATCATAAGTCTAATACCTTGGTAATTTTTTGACCAAAATAGACTTTTCTTTCGGAATTGAATTTTGAGGGGTTTAACCAATTAATTACTTCCAGAAGAACACAAAAACACCAAAATCTCACCTGGGAAACCCATAGTTGGCTAGTAATTAGCATTGAAAAATTCATAAGCGTTGAAAAAGTCGTAAAAATACTCCAAGCCTCATTAAGGCCACTAATTACCCTCCAATCGAAACGAGGATCATAGATTTGCAAAAAGCGTGCTCAGGAGTACATATACTAAGATTTCCAGCAAAATCAATTTTTTGGCCAAAAACATAAGTCTAATACCTTAGTAATTTTTTGACCAAAATAGGCTTTTCTCGCGGAATTGAATTTTGAGGGGTTTAACCAATTAATTACTTCCAGAAGAACACAAAACCACCAAAATCTCACCTGGGAAACCCATACTTGGCTAGTAATTAGCATTGAAAAATTCATAAGCGTTGAAAAAGTCCTAAAACTACTCCAAGCCTCATTAAGACCACTAATTACCCTCCAATCGAAATGAGGATCATA